TTTCTCCCTGAAGGGCTATTGCTAGCACCTGCTGTACCTTGTGCAGAGCAAGTTCTTTGAGGTTTTGGTCACAACATGAGCTATTAGAGGTGACCTTGAGTGATCCCTGATGAACTCTGCATGGGACTTACTACAGAGGAGTGGATGGATGGTTTAGCCCAGGATAATTACATATAAAGTCTCCATGCAGCCAGCAGCTTCCAGGAGAGAAGGCAAAGTGGCATTGTTTCATACCAAGTGCCACATGATCTGAGGACTCATGTCAAGGAAACAGCATCGTGCAGGTGAAAGGGAGGCACTACTGGCAGAGATCTCACAGACCACCAAGGCTTGTATGAAAGGTCTTTATTGGGGAGGGAGACCACAGAGCAGCACCAAGGAGGAGAGAAAAAAAGAGAGAGATTAAAAGAAAGTGTGTCCTTATATAGGTTCGGTTAAGGGAAGGCTTAGAATGATGATGGACTGGTAGAACAGCCAATGAAGAGTTGTTAGGGGCAGGTCACAAGTTTTAACTTTTTAGCAGGTAACGAGGTAAGTTTTGCGAGCCAGGTGCTCACTCAGCTGAACACCCCAGTTTCTCACATGACCTTGTATGAGTTTTCTCTCCTATAGACTGGAAATCAAAATAACAACTTGCAGGGGAATATTATTTATGATACAGTAAGACACCAGGCCTCCAATAGGATCCCACACAGGGAAGTTTCGGCACTTTTAATGGTGTGTTAGGAGCGGCTGTCTGTTGCTTCAGGGTCTCTGCCTCTCGCTGCAGCTGCACTTGTCTGTGCTGCCGTTCATCTCCACACACGTAGTCAGTCACCAAGTGTGTGTGGAACGGGGCAGACAGGGAGCAGACAGACCCCGAGGAACACAGTCTGGCAGGGGAGACACCCCTGTGCACACCTTGCTACACAGGTGACAAACGCTTTAGTGGGATTTTGTACCAGAGGGGAGAATGCTAAAATTCAAAGGATGAATGGACAGTGAGGGCATAGAAAGGGTTTCTTGCTAAACTGAATTAGTAGGGTTCTTTGTTGCAACTGGATTTTACAAGGAAGTACACAGCTAGGCCTAGAAGAAGTTTCAGTAGACTAACTCAAGTTTGGCCAAGCCAAGAATCTGTCAGAGGTGTAGACTGGACAGGAGATTTGGAATCTTGAGCCCATAGATGAGTCTTAGGCACAGTTCTCCAGGAAAGGGACCTTGAGATGGACACTTGTGGGATCAAGTTGCTCAGGGAATCTGCTCAGATTGACACCTACAGGGGATGAGGGGAGCAGGACTCAGTCCCAACAGGGTCTCAGCTGAGCCCTGGAGCTGGGTGGCCCATCAGAACATTTTCTATCAGCCAGTGAATGCAGTTGGTTCCTGGCAGGGGGTGAGTAGCAATGGTGGAGGAAATATGCTTTGAGGGCAGTTCCAGGAGGGGCCTGGCTGTGGTCCTTGGCAAATAGTGTCCTGGAGCCACCAGGAAGACCTCTCCATTCTGAGCCAGGCATCCCTGCAGCCACCAGACAGCCCTCTCCATTCTGAGCTGGGCACTGCCATCTGCTGCAGGTGAGGCAGGTGCAAGGTGGGTCCTAGGACAGCAGCCTACCATTAGCTACACATTAGAATCACCCCAAACCCCCGCCAGCCCCTAAGCCACACCCCCTGCCCATTAACCCCAAATCCCTGTGGGAGGGAAATGGGCATCAGGAGATTATAAAGCTCCCCAGCTGGTCCAGTGGATGGCCAAGTTGAAGAACTACTGCCCAGAGAATTGTGCCAGATGGATGGAGAAGGGGTCTGCCTCAGACCTGAGACAGGTATTCCCGGAAGCTGAAGGAGAGCAAAGGAGAGTGTGCCATGGTGGGCAAGGGGCAAGGGGGTTCCAGGAAGAAGCGAGTGGTCACCAGCAGCAAGAGCCTACACGGTGCCACGCCTGAACAGGAGGGTGCCCAGCTTTTGTAAATGTGCCTGGAATCTGTTTTATTCAGGTATGGTAAGGTGGCATGTGAAGACTGTTGCCTTTGAAAGAAGAGTTTGCTACTCACAGCTCCCTGGAAGAGGGAGCGACCAAGCCATGCAGGGCACTCAGGGAGCACGAGGCTCATCAGGGGACAGAGGAGCAGCAGGAAGCCCAGCCTAGAGCCCTTGTTGCGGCCCTCTGGGTGGGAGTGGGTGAGGCAGGGGTTAGGGTCGACTACTTGGAGTCACGTCCACAGGCTCTGGCACACAGGGTGGCCCCTCGTTGCCTGGTGCCTGGCCCTGTGGTGACTTGGTGCATGAGAACTAGATGAAGAAGGTAGGCCGTGGCGTTGACTGGTGGATCTGCGTGTGAAAGGTGTACTCTCAGGCAGGTTGCTTCCTACTAGCTAGCTCTGGGAAGGGCTGTCTCCAGCACTAATCAGGCCCCCAAATGCCAAGGGATAATGCAATATAGAATATATAAAACCTAATTGATATACCAACCCCATGGGCTCCTAGCTTAGGGGTCAGAGTGGGCCAGATACAACTCCAACTCATCTCTTTGGCAGGAAGCTGAGTGCAGGGCAGAACTTTCATGAATACTCAGAGTAGCCCTGACCCTGAATCCTGCAGAGCTGCAAAGAAGAGAGAGAAGGAAACGCAAAGCCCCATGTGAAGGGCACTGCAGTGGGTGGCTGAGACTCTCCAGAACCAGAAGGCGCTCACAAGGAAAGAATACCAGCTTTCATTGTCTATTGCAGCGGTTCTCAACCTGACAAGGGTTCCTGTTATGACCCACAGGAACTGTATTAAAGGGCCACAGCATTAGGAAGGTTGAGAACCACTGGTCTATTGGCTCCAGAGACCCCACTTAGATTTTCACCCACCTTGTCCCTGGCGGGGTCACACACTGCTACCATGCCAGAGACGGGAGGGGTAAACGGAGGAAGAGAAACAGAGACGTGAATGGTCTGCCTCCTGGCCCTGTGGTCCACTGCCGGTCCCAGCCCAAGGCAGGCGTGGGGGAAGTGGAGGAGAGGCAAGAGGTCTCATTCAGCCCATTCAATCAGGTTGGTCTTGATTGTTACTTTGCACTGCCCATTCTGATGTCTAAGCTGAAACTGTGACTCTAGGGTAAGACTCTTGTCAGTCTGTAAAACCAAGAAGAGAAGACCTGAGCCCCTGGCATGGGTGGAGATAGAGAACCTCCGTGGGTTCAATGATAACGATACGAAGGAGATGGAGAGCAGGGATGGATTTTGAAGACATCTGGGCTGTGCTTAGGTGTCAGGAAGCTGTGTTTGTAACAGACTGAGCAGAAGCTGGGCACATAAACATCACTCGTTATGAGAGTAATAGCCTGAATCTAAAGAAATATAAAGAAAAAACATCTCATTTAATTGCCAAAACAGACTTGCAAGGTAGATCTTGCTGTTCTCCTGTCTGTACCCAGCAGCACTGAGCATCCCCTGTCCTGTTGGTGATGTGGGTGTCCCAGCCAGCACTGACCCCCTGCTCTACTTGTCTGGGGCACTGTGGGCACATGGGAACATCCTTTCATAAGAACTTGACTTGGGTAAGATCACTGATTTCAACTCAGAAAGGTTTTTTGCCGTCTCATCATGGTCCGGGGGTTACTAATGGAAAGGACCAAAGTTATGTGTAGCTTGGGGAAAATGGGACCTCAAGTCTTTTAAAAATAGAAACCTTGCAGATTAAAGAGCAAGTTAACAGAGTTATCACAAGGCCTGTTCACCATGCCTGACAGGGGCTAACACTTGATAATCATTTCAGCCGGCTATCCTCCCTTTCATCCTGAGAGAAACAGCAGGTGGACAGACTCTGATGACCTGAGTCCCAGAGTTGGAAACTCATGGGTGTTGCCAAACACAGTGGGCTCCCATCATCCCCACACACTGTGGTCCTGTGTCAGACAAGTAATACTCAGTGTGTAAAAACAGGCCTTTTTTCTAAATAGTTCCTGAAAAAGGCAGAGAATCCTCTCTTCAGAGGCAAAGAGCTCTTTCCTGTGACTGATGCATAAGAAATCCCTTATGTGGCAATACACAACTAATACCAAATGCTGAGTCCTGCCTCCTCTCTGGACCAAGTGCCCAGGTGAGCTGAGGGACTCTGAGGATGCTTTGGCTGAGGCAGATGCAAGGAGCTCAGTCTCCCTTCTCCTGGCCCCATCCCAGTCTGGTGGCCTCTCTGCTCCTCCCTGGCCACAGCAGCACATCTTTCAGGCCTCCCAGATAAGAATTCGGGTTCTGGGATCCTAGGCTTGGTGTTTGGTCAGGCCACCATGACCAAATGTGTCCTCTGAGGCCAAGGACTCGGCATTTCATCCTCTCTCCCCGAGCCCTGTCCGCCCCCCCCACCCCGCCCCTTCCTTCAGTGGCAGAGTGAGATCTATTGTGTAAACCTGGGTAAGAAAAAAGCAGATGAGGAAGGAAGAACACTGCCCTGATGGGCATGGTGTCGGGCTCCACACTGCTGGCAACTGTCACTGCTTGGAGTGGGCTGGATGCCCCTTGAATAGTGTAGGGTCCCACTGGCCTTCACAGAAGGCTGGAAAATGAGAAGTCCTCCCCACCCAATAGGCGACCTGTGCCCCTGGCTTTCCCCACTCTCATGGGGGCTGGCCAGGCACTGTGGGCCTCAGATGGGTCTGATGATAGCACCCACATTGCCTCTGTGCCCCTGTCTGTGAAGGCTCCATTCTCACAGGAGCACAGGAGGTGGCTGTGGGGGTGAAGAGAAGGTGCCCCAGAGTGGTGGCCTTGGCTGCCTGAGCCACTGCTTTTCAGAGCCAGCCCCAGGCTCCTCTCTCTCAGGGGTCTCTGAGAAGTCACTGGCTTCAGGGTGGGGGAGATGCCATGCACGCGGGGGCCAGCGTCTAGCGTGTTCACTTACCTCCCAGCCTTTTTACAAGGGGACCACGCCAGGCAGGGAAATAGCCGGCAGAGCCTGAGCTGCACAGCTCAGTCGCCCACGTCCAGCGTAGGGACCAGAGGCCACCTGCACTCAGATGCATCTTCTTCCCCTTGCAGGAGAGCACCTGGCCATACCTGTTTGGCGTGATCACCATCCCTGCCTTCGTTCAGCTGGTGAGCCTGCCCTTTCTCCCTGACAGCCCACGCTACCTGCTCTTTGAGAAGCATGATGAGGCCGGAGCCATCAAAGGTAGGGCCTGACCCTTTCCCATGCAGCTCCAGCCGCTCCATGGGTCAGCACAGCAAGGTGGCATGCGCTGGGACCTTGACTGTTTCTCCTCGCAGGCTCTGTGTGAGGGGTGAGAGCACCTCCTCATTTCTTCTATGGGGGGGGGGTGCAGAAAGTGGCCACGGGGCCACCTGGTCAGTCTGGAGAAACTAGGACAGACAGGACCCCTACTGGACAGTGTCTTTCCACAGCTGCCTCTCCTTGGCTGCAACCACAGAGATAAAGCAAAGCCCGGTTCCTAGGAGAGGGGGGTGCACGGCAGCCCCCCTTTTACTCCCTCCCTGTCCTAATATTTGCAAGGAAAGGAACAGACGCAAGTGTGGAATGAGGGCCAACCTGTGCTTCTGCAAGGGAGGAAGGAGTGTACCATTTTCTAGGAGAGGAAAGTGAGGCTCCAGTGGGGCTGGAGTCGCCTTAGGGGCTGTCCATAAATGCCCTGAAAGGTGAGCAGCAGTACTGGGTCAGATTCAAAGCCCAGCTTGCAGAATAAAGCTTCTATTGAGCTCCAGAAAGACAGTCATTTTGCCTAGAGATACTGTCCCACAAACGGCCACAGTACTGTAGTTTCATGAAACAAGACACAGCTGACAGCCTTCAGTTAAGTGTGGTAACCAGCTGCCTGCACATCCCAGCTCAGCTGCTGACCTCAAGCAATTCTTCCAGCTTTGCTGAACCTCAGAACCTGCATGTGTAAAGAGGAAATGACACCCTTCCCACACAGGGTGTTGTGAGGATCCAATTAGATGGTCTGGCTAAGGTCCATAGTATCATCTGCTATTGTTTTTGCTGAAGACTCTATCCATTTTCTTACTCATATTCTATCCTCTAATTTAAATTCCATTGACGAAAAAAGAAAAATGAGAATTTTACCTTTTGAAATTCAAACTGTTTTCTGAATTAACAAATGGCATAATGAAGTATTAATGACCGCCTGTGTTTGCCTAGTAGTGTAAGGTTCAGATTCAGACAATGTCGTCCACATCTGCATTTTGCTGATGAAGATGTTGAGGCTGACGGGTGAACTCACTTACCTGAAGGTGGGATGTAGCTTGGAGAGGTCTTTGAAACTATGATGGAAGCTATAGCGTCTCCCTCAGTGGAGTGCCCATACACACAAAATCTTGCCTATAGCTTGGTGGGACTGGGACTTGAGCCCTACCTTCCCCAGAAGCCCACATGGGCCCCTGGTTAATAAGATTGGGAAGATTCTGCCCCAATTTCAAGCCAGAAAGTCACAGCAGGATTAGAAGCCAAGGGTGATTTCCCTCCCACTGCCCTCACACCCAGAGGGACATCAGGAAAGGAAAAGAGTGGTAGGGTTTAGGCAGTGTCCCACACAGCGGGTCAGGAGACAAGCTGTCCAAAAGCCAGGTGCAGATGGCTGTCAGATGGTGGAGGCTCTGGAACAAAAAGAGGGTGGCTGAGAACAAGCCAGCCTGTGGATTATGGGAAGAAGTTTCTCCCTCCAGTTCTGTTCCTCTGGTCTGGGAGTATACCCCTCACCCCACCTAGCTGGCACTCCAGACAAGCTTTTGGGACATGCCTTGGCCAAGTACAGTGGGAAGGGATAGTGCACATAAGTGCCAGACAGCGGAGAAGGGTTTAAAGTTTCATTTCACAGCATAATAGGGAGTGAAGAAGTACGGTTGCAAACAGGATAAATATTACATATGTACTTCATAAAAAGAACAAAGTGTTTTTCCTATCAGAAAAATATATTTACATATAATTTTTAAATTTCAGATTAATATAAGGGTACATACGATTAGGTTACATATCTTGTGTTTGTTAGGAAAAGTTCGAGTGTGTCACCCAGGAGCAGTGCCTTATGCCCTACCCTGCACCAGAGGTGGAAGCTGACTAAGCCCCTGTCCCCCCTTCTTGAATTCAATTGCGATTTTCTCTCAAGTGGATCGGTGGTTGTTCATCTACTAGTTTTAAATTAGTACTGAGTACACGGGATGCTTGAGTAAAGCATCTCAAGAATAAAAAGGACAGTTATGGGCCTTAGGCTGAAACAGTTTGTTGAAATTTGCATCCACACTAATGAAGTGTTAATTTCACTCCACACATTAGTAACAATACTGGGCTTTCTGCTGGGCTTCGGGAAAGGCAGCGGGAGGAGATGGTGCCCCCAGCCCTAGGAGAGAGAGTCTGACTGAGGGAAGTGGGAAGACACCCAGGAACTGTTCATCTCTGGGGAAAACTACTTAATTCTGAGCATTCTGCATGTGTTAGCTCACTAAGCCCTCACAACAAACTTGGAAAGTAGATCACATTTTTATTCATGTTTTAAGGCAAAAGCAAACAAAAACTGAAGATGTGTAACATGGCCAAGAACACAAAGCTGGAAAATAAGGGTCCTGGAATTTGAACTGTGACAGTCTGGAACCTATGAGTGTAAACAAAACACACCAAATTACCGAGCATCTTACTGGGCACTGTGGGAGACACCCCTTCCACAGTCTGTTGATAATGTTGGGAAAAGAGGTCCTGTAGCAGTCACCTATTGCTATATTACGCTGCATAACAAAAAGACCTGAGCATACATTGGCTTAATGTAACAGCATTTCTTTTTGTTCACAAGTGCACAGGCCCAGCTGTGTGGTTCTGTTAATCCTGATGGGACTTGGCCTCGAAATTCTTCTTGGGGCCAGGTGAAGTTCACTCATGTGTCTGATGGTCAAGCTGGCTGATCTAGGTTGGCCTTGGCTCTGTTTCACATGTCCCATCCTTCAGCAGGCTAGCCCAGGCATATATTCTCATGGTGTTTACAGAGCTCCAGGAAGAAGTAAAAAACACAGGCAGTTTTTCAAGCCTAAAGTCCCTCCAAATCCTATTGGCTAAAGTAAGTCCCATGACCAAGCTGAAACTCAGAGTGGAGGGGCCTACACAGTTACAGGACAAAGGCCACGGATGTAAGGGTGCCATGGGGCCGTCAATGCACTCTAGACACAGACCCCTTTCAAGATTTCCCACCCCCAGTTCATGGGGGCCAAGATTTAAGTTCCAGACCCTTGGTCTCATTTATTTCTGCCCCTTTGTCAGTTTAGAAGAAGTTCCCAGTGCCTAGAAATAGGGAAAAGAGCCCAGACTTTCACCTCTAGAAAGGGAGATTTATTTAATTGAATAGAAATCAAATGTTACCATAGAGAATGTGATGGGGCAATGCTTCAGAAATTTGGGTCAGGGAAGTCATCTTGATTGGAATCATTTAGTTTGTAAGAGGCAGAAACTCCCCCTACACAGTGTTAGCAAAAGGGGAATTTTGGCTCCTGTCCCTAATGATAAGACTTGGGGGCACTAATTATGAATACTCCCACTCTTTCCAGCCCAAGTCAAAATTAGTCAAAACATCGAGACAGAGGCGGAATAAAAGTGTCACCTTTAGTGTGGATAAAGACTACTCTGAGAATCAGCTTCAGATTTGATGGCCAGTACAGACTTTTACGTTCCTACTCCTGAACTGAACTTGTCACCTACTCATAGCTTCCCTGACAGGGCTCATCCCTGAGAAACTTATACCACAGACAGAGAGTACGTGCTCTTCCAGTCAAGTCCATCCCCAAAAGAAAGGAGGAAACTAGGCTGTACCTGCCTTTTCTTTCCCCAGTTTAACCAATTAGCTAAGTTTTTTCTCCTCTCCTGGGGAGGAATGAGGAGAGGTGGGCGGAGACAAGGTGAAGAGTGATTGTTAAAAAAATTCCCTCCATACAGAAAGTCATATTAGGAGTGAGTGCTAAGTGTTCTTTCTGATGATAGGCAGTGAAAGGGCTGGATTGCCTTCAGGCATGGTAGGATCCAGGATCCTCTTCCTCAAAAAAGCTAGACATTCTTAAGATTTCATTGGCTTTATTCTTCGACCTCTGCCATTTGGCATCGAGTTAACCCTGAGCAGCTCCAACTCCAAGGCACTATCAGAAGGAGAGAAGTTCTCTTTCATGCAGCACACACCTGTCCTGAAGAAAAGAATTCTGATTGGCTTTTCTTGGGTCAAATGGCCACCCTTGAACTGGGAGTTAGAATTCCCTGATTGGTCAGTGTGGGTTACCACCCACTCTTGTGATTGGAAGGCTGTGAGGCTTGATTAGGATTACCGTTTCTCCCAGGAGGACAGGTCCAGGGAAAAGCACAGCAAGAGCAGACAGTATCAGATGCCCAGCACCCCCTGGCTGACTCCTGACCACCTTCCCTGCGGTCTGCGTTGCCCCCTCCCGTGATCTGCACTGGCTTTTGCTGCCAGAACCCCAATCAGGGAGAGACTCAGGGAGCTCTACCCACAGCCAAGGATTCAGAGAGGTCTCAGGGTGCTTCCTTTTTTGTTGTTTTATGAATGGGAGAGAGTGTATTTCTGTGATATGTAGCATTTTGGAGAACCTTTGGAGCATTTTGGAATGGAACAGTAAGATTATCCATTTTTGGCTCCAGTTGTAATTTTGGTTGTCATGTGATCAGAGGAAGTCTATTTCTTATTTTTTGTTTGCTGTTCTGTTGTTATTGTTGTAGAAAAAGATATGTGTATCATGATTAAGTCCTGCCGCCTTATGATAGAAAACCTGAAATAATAGTGTCTTGAATAAAAATTTTATTTCTCTCACACATAAAACAAAAGTTCAGAGTAGGCAATCTGGGTCCCTTTGGGGTCTTTCCGGTAGCACAGACCTGGCTCTGTTCATCTCTTGGTCGTCCGTCCTCAGAAGATAGTCTCATGGTCCCAAGGGGCTGCCGTCATGAGGGTGTTCCAGCAGGAAGCACAGGGCTTCACCACTTCCACACTAGGAATTCTTCTTGGAAGTTTTATGCCTTCTGCCCCCGTTTTGTGGCCAGAAGGTGATCATGAGCCTCCTTCCTGCCTGGGAGGCTGGGAAATGCAGTTCCTTGGTACCTGTTACTGCAGAAAGTCAGGGTCAGCTGCCAGGGAGAGGAGGGTGAGCGGGGCAGTGAGGCCTGGCAGGCTCTGC